AGTAGTAGTAAAAGTAGTAGTAGCAGCAGTGGCAGTAGCAGTAGCAGTAGCAGTGGGAGAAGTAGGAGTAGGACTGTAGCAGAATAGGAGAGTGGGACTGGAGCCGTAATCGCAGCAGCGAGTTCTCGGCTTGTTGCAATGCGGAAAGCAGAGGCTGCCATGAGCAGCTCCGTACGCCGGATCCTTGAACCTTGCTCGTCTCCGGAGCCGGCTCAGCCCAGCTGGATGGATTTGCCAGGATCCACGACACAGCAGCAGATGATCGAGGCACTGGAGACGGCGCGAAGGGAGGCTGGCGAGCCCACGACGCAGATGATAGACGAGCACGAGAGTTCTCAGGACCTGGGCGACGCGAAGACACCTCCCAGAAAGGTGCGCAAGAAAGACGCCGACACACCGGAGGTCGCGACGCCACCTTCCCTGAAGAGGTACTCGCTGGAGCGACAGCGGCAGTGGTATCGCAAGAAGCTGGCCAGCCTGGAGGAGAACCTTGGTCAGACGGGGCGGCACCGTCCAAGGAGGCCACTGCCTCCTCCTCGATCAGCTCAGTGCCCGAGCCGACAACCACAGGCAAGCCGACAACATGCACCTTTGAGGCTCTTCCGACAGAGGCAAAAGAGCACTACGGGGCATGCTGGGCCCATGCGGATGGGCGGTACGGCAACCGCCAGAGGGTCCACCGAGATCTTCCCGACAACATCGCAGAGGAACTGAAGGCGAAGCTCAAGACCTGGAGCAAGGAGCAGTTCGTCAAAGCACTGGAACAGGACCCGAGTCTTCTTCATTCTTTTTTTTTGGATCCCTTCCCTCCTCTTGACCTCTGTTTTTTTCTTTAAAGGGTCCTTTCCCTTCCGACAGGAGGTCACCGACGCGGCGCGCACGCCAAGCACGGGCTGGATGATGAGGCGCGATCCGCCATCTACAACCAGGGCGACAGAAGATTATGGGACGTTCGGAAGAGAAGCACATGGACTTTCAGCACTGGAGATACGCGGCTCTCATGCGCCGATGTCTATGCGTGCTGGCAGAGTCTGCGATGGGGTGTCTTGACCAAGGACGACATCCTCACCTACCACGTCGTTTGCCTCCATGAGTGGATGTGCAAAGTACACCCCCAACCGCAGCTCGGCTTGGTACATGCAGTGCATCTTTGCAGTGCTGACGGCCATCACGATGTCATCAAAGTGGGGAAAACCACCTTGATGGCGAGCTCCACGGCTGGACAGGCATGCTCGGCTCTCCGCCACTGCATGGAACGCTACCAATGCTTCCAACACAAGACCACGGAGGCCACTTTGGCGGTCCAAGGGCTGGTGGACGTGTGGTGTGTGCTGCCGCACGACGTGTCGACCCACGCGGAGATGCTCTTTCATGCCTGGTGCGAAGTGGCCAGGTACAAGGACACGAGCTGGATGAGGCCGCATGGAGCGACGGTTGTGGACGTGCCTCGATATGGGTGCGGTGGATGATTTTTTTAAGAATGTAATGCACACCCTAAACCCTAGACCCTAAACTCTGCAGCTCAGGCCAATGAGATTTACTATTCCCGGCACAGAGAGGCTGTGTTGTCCTTGCTACGAGCACTGAGCACATCTCATGAAGCAGTGGAAGTGCACTCCTGTTGAAAGGCGGGAAGGGAGTACAGTCTCGCAGGAGTTCTTTGACTGGTCGCCGACGATGTCGATCTTTCAGTGCTACGACAACGTGGCACTGAGGTGCCCTGCAGCAGTCTACCACACCCAGCACCACGCTCTCGATGACTGGCGAGTGCGTGTCTGGAACAAGCTCTCGCTCGACTTCGGTGCCGATGTCAGGCATTTCTGCATGTTCTTTCCCAGCAGCAATGGGAAGCTTTGGTGCAGCCCCGTGGCGCCTGATGAGGGGCGCAAGAAGCCGCGATGGACTGCGGCAACTTGGTGTGCGCGTGCCGTCAACTATCCCATGCACTTCATTGATCTCCGCAAGCTGCCGGCCGGGGCCCGGGCATGCTTGGAGGAGAAACTCCGATCCTGCCCAAGGACTGTGCCTGACCCGAAGGGAAAGGGACAGGCCAAGACAATGGCAAAGGCAAAGCCTGTTGCCGAAAAGCCGAAGGGAAAGGCACGGGCCAAGACGACGGCAAAGGCAAAGCCTGTTGCCGAAAAGCCGAAGCCTCTCTCGTTTTACCCTCTGTGGCGTCCACCAAACGCATAGCCAGGTACTCCTGCAAGCGCTCCTGCCACGCACCTAAGGCGCATGGCAGTTAAGTTGCTGATCGTAAGGGGGCAGAAAAACCCCACGGAACCGGCCTACCTTGTGAGTGCATCCCAGAAAAAAAATGAATGCCAACGGTTGTCTCGACAGTACACCAGGTTGTCGTTTCTGAAGTTCTTTGCGCGTCAGTGTGCATGTACTTCACCATGCCCATCTACAAGTTATGCTTGTATCTCCATCTCCCTCTCTCTTTCTCTCTCCGTCTTTTCTTCCCCCTCCCTCCTCGCTTCTCCCTGAACAGAACTGTTCACCTTGGCCGGAAACGACTTGGCGGACTGCATCCGCAAATCGCCAGGCCCAGTCGGGCCGAGAGCAGCAATAGCACGGTGGTTGACTCAAGCAGCAGGGGAAGCATGTGGGATTGGTGCTGACAGTGTCAGCCGTCAGCGTCTCTTACATGTCCTTTGCGCAGTGTGCATTTGATGCATCAAAGAAGCTCTTCCCTGCAAGGCTGCACTCGGATGTTTTGCGAGTACGCGAAAGAGTTTGTGAATGCCATGCAGAAAGCAAATGGCGAAATGCCCCACGAGGACCCTCAAGCTCGATGCTCAAGAGGCATGCTGTCTTGAATCATGGTGCTGCCCGAGGACCAGGTCAAGTTGTCGGACAGATGCTGCAAGCAGAACTCAGTGTACCAGATCCTCTACCCGGACCCGACGTTGCTCGTCTTCTCGTCCACCTGTTCGAACAGAATCGCTCGCTGTGCTAACAAGCATACACATGCTCAGACAAATCAAACTCGTCCGACAGCCATTCTGCAACACATGAAGACATTGGATGGACAGGTCTGGTTTAGAGTGTGTGAGAGCTGCCTGTATCGTACAGCGCGAAGTAGCCTCTGCTACCTTGCAAGTGCAAGGAAGGGTTCTCGTTCCCACAGGCAGTCAATCAATGAATCAGCCAAGGACGATGTTGGAAAACATTGACATCTTGAAAGAGGATGTGGAGGAAGATGAGGAAGAAGTTATAGCTGGTGTCGAATCGGCCGACAGCTCCGGATCCAGATCGAAGGACAGGAGTTATCGTTCCCCGCTGCCTCATGCCTTTCTCGCCTTCCGTTTTGTGTCCCTCAACCCTAAACCCTCACCCAGGAAACGACGCTGCCGGAGGAGAAGTTCCCAACAGAGAGCTCCATGTGGCCAATGCGAGGCCTAATTCTGTAGCGCAGCTTGGGAATTCGGTTCGGGGTAGAAGGTGTGGAGAGAGACAGCCTTCTGGCATGCGCGCTTGTTGGAACTTTGGGGCCTGCTGATCGGCACTGACCGGCACCGTCTCCCCCGAGACAGCTTTGGTCTAATTATTCCCACCGGACTTGTGGAATTCTTGTAATATTCTTGTACTGGTAGCGTGATATGTCAGGACACGACATGTGCCATCAGATGTCGATGGGACTGTCCACCTTCGTTCAAGCAGTGGTCCGCCCTGCTGCATCAGCAGCAGCCGTGGAGGCCAAGTGCTCAGGTATGCATGTGATAGCGGTGCTTGCAGAAGACCCCCTTCTCCTTTCTCCAAACCAGCATGCCTAAACCTGATCTGAATTGGAGGCGGATGCGATGGCATTGAAGCTGCAGGCGGTCATCCCCGAGCTTAACGCGCAGAAGGGTCAAGCACTTAAGCTCTTTTCTGTGTTGCAACGGTTTCTCTGAACGGAACTGCCTCGTCCGACCACGATGCTTAGGCTTCCGAGCATATGCTTCCGTCATCGTTTTTTTGTGTTCAGAAAGCTGAGGCTCCCATGTGGTGCTGAAGCAGCCTCTCGAGCGCGACAGGGCAGAGTCATCCTGCATCAGCGTGCTTGCACTCGCCGCCACCTTAGACTTGCCCGGAATGCCCAGGCATTTGGCAAGTTCGGGATTTCATCTTAGGTCTCATCTGAGAGCTTGTCTCATGATGGAGACTCAGGCCGCGGGTAAGTACGACATCTTCACGAAGCCACAAGCTCCGGCAGCCAAACTGCGAGCAGAGCAGTGGTATCAGCTACGCGACATCATACGGTGGATCAGACCGACCGAGGACTTGGCGCATGATTGCGCAGGTGTGTATATGTGTATGTGTATACAGTATACCGTGTGTGTATTATACAGTGTGTGTATGTATATATATATGTAAAACTATACAATATGTGTTAATGTACTGTATATATGTATATGTAGTTTCATACAGTGTAATAATGTACAATGTAAGACAAGATAGTACAATATGAATGCAATATATGCGCACCTACAAGGTGCAGTGTACATATTCATAGACATACGTATATGTGTATACATATAAGTATACATATACGCATGTGTAGATGTATACATGTACGTATAAATATACCTACATATACATATACATACATATGGCGTGCACACACACATACATGGTTGTATGAAATCAAGCTATTGTTCTGTATATCAGTAAGTAGATGATCAGTTACATAATTAATGGGCATATAACGGTAAATAATTGTGCATATATACATACATACAGACATACATACATACATACATACACATCTATCTATATATCTACATATATATACATATATATCCGTGTGTTTGTATGTGTGTGTATATAATATAGATATATATATATACATACAGACATCCATCCCCCGATTTCTAGACATGTCCAACCCGAGAAATGTAGCAGCACGATTTGTAGGTATGCGATACTGACATACGGTTGATGATGTATATCCTGCATTACCCTAAGGACCCCAAACTATGGGAATTATGATCTATTCGTTATTATGGGTAATGCAGGATTTATACCATCAACCGTATGGACCATGGAAGCAGTCTGTAGAGTCGTGTGAAGCGGGGGGCGGGGGTGTGACACGAAAAGTATGTGTGTATACACAAGAGGGAGGAATACGTGTTTACATACATACGTACGTACGTACGTACGTACGTACGTACACACATACACATAAATGTATGTATATATATATATACACACACACACACATACACATACATACGCGCATACATACATCTGTTTTTTCTTAATTTGTCGTGTGTTCGTTCGTGTGTGTGTGTGTCTGTTTGTCTGTCTGCGTTGTGTGTGGTGTGTGTGTGTGCGTGGTGTGTGTGTGTGTGAATGTGGGTGAGTGTCTGGACGCGGGGCATTCGACGTCAGAGTTAAAATGACCCAATTCTATTCTCAAACAGGCCAGCTGCTGAAGAAACCCATGCCCCGTTCTAGCCAAGGGAAGGTACATCTGTGCGCTGAGTTGTTGTTGAGAACCACTCCTGTCTTCAAGGAGCAACTGCATGCCGTCATGGTTCTCTTGGCCATCCGCGCTCTTGGAAAGTCCAAAGCGATTGTGAACCAGTTGCCGAAGAGTCAAAGGCAGTGTTCCTGGCGACGGGACTTTGAGATTAGGGTATCTTCGGGCTTCTTGTTCGTTGAAGGGCTGTTAGCACAGGAACTTCTGCACTCATGATGGTTGGCAGGCGGCCAGAGCGCGCCGTTCTGTATCTCATGGAGTTCCATGAGAACGTCGACGCGGTTGCAGTGAGAGCCGTGCGATGCAGACTTGTGCAGATAACTTGTCAGGGTAGAGGTGGTCACAGGCGCACATATCAGCTATCACACTGTGCCTTACGTTGTTACATCATGGTAAGAGTTTGCAGCTGCTGATGGGTGCGTGCTTTGATGGATGACAATGCGTCAGATTCGAGGAAAGTAGCCTCGACAATAGTTTGGTGCTTGCACAACCACCTTGAGAGGTTGTTCCATCTTCCACCCGGCTGGACGAAGATGGGCTGCGGCGAGTCAGGAAGGTGGCCGCCCACCGTCCTGAGAGTCCGAAATTGTAGCCGTCCTCGACTATGGCGGGAAGGGAACAAAAATAGACCTCAAGAATCTCTGGGCTAGTGTCACTGATATGCAAAGACCAGGGTTCCAGTGCTGACTGCTTGAGACTGGGGACATCCGGCTCCTCTGCCAGGCACTTGAGGTGCACGAGACCTTCAATCTGGCGCAGATGCCTCTGCCTCAGCCTGAATCTAGCTGCAAGATGCCAGCTTTGTCAGGGGGATCCCTTACTGTACTTGACTATCAGTAGTTGATGGTTTACCAACGACACACCTGAAGAGCACCAGCGCGAAATTGAACTGGCGTAGATCCTGAGCTTCGAGCCCCGAGCCAAAGGCCAAAGGCCCCACAACCAAGCCTTTCGAGGTTGCAGGGCGAGAACATCCCGGCAAACGTGAACCAGCTGCAGGAGCCAGGGTCGGGTGCATTTTCGATACTGAGGGGTGGTTGAGGTCGAGTGGGCTCTAAGCTGCGTTGGAAAGTGAAACGGCGGGGGGCTTTGCCGCGTCTGCTCAAGCCTTGTTGTTTTGGCTGGGAAGAGCCTGCTGGTTCAGGAGCTGATACGCGGCTACGCAGAAGAGGGCATGGAGGTGGCCACGAACAAATTTATTGCCGGGGTTTCTCATTTACTGTCCGTCTGGCCGGGGGGCGGCATAGCCGCATTCTGTGCTGCCGGGGTTCTTCTCCCTTCGGCGGGGTTTTACTCCATGTGCCTCAAGGGACACGGTGTTTTCCCGCCATTTTCATACAGGACCTAGCCAGTATGTCTTTCAATTCCGTTTGTCTAGAAAAAGCAAGAAAAAGGTAAGTTGTCCTTCTAATCGGAGCTTGACCTTCTCTGCTTCAAAGCCGTACATACCCCCCCATGATCAACGGCCTCTTGCCAAAGTGGTGTTTGTTGCTTGCATGGATACTGAGGCCAGGATTTCGAAGTGTAGCCATTTTTCTGGCAAAATGGTGCGTGTTTCTTGCATGGGTGCAGGTTTTGTTTGCCTGAAGCCAGGAACTTAAAATCTTTTTGAAGCTGATTTCGCATGTAGTTAGAGAGCAGATGCGGGCTGAGGATTGCCTCTACTGCCCTGCAAGGTTTTCCGCTTCTACATCCTCTTCCTGCTCGGTTTCATGAGTGGCCTCGCATCCGGTCACGGGTCTCGTTTCATGCTTCTCGGCTAAAGCCTGTTTGAGCTACGTTTTTTAGTGGAGAGCTCATGCATTCCTTGGACGGAGTGCCAAGGAATGCAACAAACGCCCCAGCGGTCATCTCTGGCATTGGCATGCTCCAGCACCTGATGGATGCGACGGCACGGGGCATTTATTGGGGATTTGCAGCAGCTCGTGCTCCTGGTCTGCAACGGGTTTGTTCTATCTTGTCTCAGTCCTGCTCTCGACAGCTTCACTGATGGACTGGTGGTGACGACGTTACTGGTAAGCATGGCATAGCATAGCAAGTTGCATGAGGGCATCAACTAGTATTGTGCTGGCCAAACTGACTATTGACCCCTGGAGTTAGGCTTCAGAGCTCGTTCAGACATCCTTGACTTGAAAGGATCTGTCGCACGCGGCTTTGGGAATGCGATTATCACATTCGTTTCTTCCCAAGTTGTTTTGCTTTCCAAGGCCGTTTTTCCGTGCTTGCTTGCTAGAGATGTCTTTTGCAGATGTGCATACGCATAACAAAGACCAACGGAGGAAACGGATGAGAGCAGGCACACGCAGAGTCAAGTAGTACACACTTATAGAGTCTCTAGAGTTTAGGATTGAAAAGCCCTTCACCTATGTACATACAACATGCACATGTAAATCTAAATGTATATGTACATGTATATGTACTTGAAAATGTACATGCATCACAAGACGAATATGGTCTTTTGATTTTGGAGTAAGTGCATACCGCAGTTACATACCTACATACAATGTGACTGTGAATGGGCTGTACATGATTGTGTTGCCTTTTTTCGTAACGTTTCTATGTATGACTGTTGGTGCAGACAAAGGCAGCGGCACTACGTTTGCCGCAGCGGACCGCCGAGGACTTCGTGCTGGTCCGCCTGGCGTGTCTCAGCCGGGTGCAGGACGCAACACTCCTGTTTTCGAGCTTCGCGCATAGCGCTTTGGTTATTTTTGGGGGTTCTGGACTTCAAGACCCAAGAGACACGTTCAGCTTGAGAGCGCCTCTTCACCAGGACGCGCATGGCTACAAGGAGCTGCGGCGAGCCTGGGACAGCCTGGGCAACTCGAGCCGCAAGATGCAGAGGGGATCCAAATGATAGATCCAGCTGGAGTGTTGCTGATGTGTGCTTGCAGCATGAGTTGCTGGCAGCACGTAGCAGTCTGTCGTGGCAGTATTAGCGGTAGCATCAGCAACAGCAGCAGCAGCAGTGGCAGTGGTAGGAGCAGGAGCAGGAGCGGGTCGGAAGCGGAAGTGGGAGCAGGAACAGGAACAGGAGCAGGAGCAGCAGGAGCAGGAGGAGCAGCAGGAGCAGCAGGAGCAGCAGGAGCAGCAGGAGCAGCAGGAGCAGCAGGAGCAGCAGGAGCAAGAGCAGGAACAGGCGCACGTTCTTGCCTTGTAGCATTTCTGATGTGATAGCTTCGGCCATAGTTGCAGTCAGAATGCTTCCGAGAAAATCTGTGCAAGGTGCAAGAGAACAGTCGTTCCTCGTGCAGCACTTTCTCAGTGATGGTTTGGAGGACCCCTTGACCTCGGACTTTGCCATCCAGATTCTTAACCACGCTAAGCGACGGCTGCTTGTGCTCATGATTGCTCATGAAAAAAAGCAAGGCAAGGATTGTGCAGCTGTAGCTTTGGAAACACATGGTTCCATAAGACCTGGCCAATGCTTCATGGTGCCATGGCTGTCGTTACGATGGGTGGTTACAGAACAGGCTGCTTGACCAGATGTCGTAGGTGTCAGAGCATGGCCTGGCAGGTGGCCAGATACAGATCATTCTCAGCTTTGCAGTGCACTCCCCCCCTACCCCCGCAGCCAAGACACCTCGCATCCTCGGCCCACAGGAGCGGGCCTTGGTGCTAGAGTTTCTGCCCGCGTGCGTGGCCAATGCCAAGACCAATAGCTTGGTGGGCCTTACCATCCTCCTGGAGGCTCATTGAATCTCAGGGTTTGGGTTGTGTTCATCGTTGCTTGCTGGGAGTTTCGGCGTGTTCAGGGCTTTGCAGGGCACGGTGTGATGCATGTTGTGTTGGGTTCATGGTAGAGAAGCTTTCCTTGCAGCGCATGGTGCAAAAGCTGTTCGGACATCTCAGCAAAGCAGTTGTTTTTCATCGTAGCACATCATCAGCATGAATTCCTAAAGAACTGTCAATGCTTGGAGTGTTGTGAAGCTATCAACGACAAGAAACACGGTACCTCCGTGCTCTGGTGCCGCACTGTTGCATCATACCGACAGTGGACTCGCACTGCACAGACCTAGTACCACCTCCATGCCGAACATCGAGGAGGGGTGGTGCTGGTAGCAGCAGCACCAGAAGATGTTTCTGCAGATGTAGTAGCAGCAGAGTATGGTTTAAGCTGTGCTACCACTATACTGCATTCATCTGACACTCCACTCCTTCGTGATTCCGGAGCTCTGGAAGTGTGAAGTCTGCCTAAACGGCTGGAGTCCAAAGCAAGAGGGCTGTAGGAGACGCAGATCACATCTGAGTCATGGTTGAGGGCTCTCTTTTGAGTGAGTACGGGCGAGGGCCGACTCACGTAGACTCATGGTGATCTTGCCAGGTACTCGTGGATTTGCTGAGCAATCTTTGGATGGCTGTGGAAAGCATGCCCAATTTAAAAGGTGTGCAGATGATCCCGGTCGATTTGTCCGAAGCATGCCTTGAATTCAAACGGGTCAGGTGTGGCATCGGAGGTTTTAAGCACCACAGCAGTGCCGCACTTCCTCCGCAGAACTGGGATGCGAAACACAGCCCCTACTTCGGATCCCAAATCCCGATGACGCCTTGGGGTAAAGCGGCAGCCGGGTCTTCAGTTCATTTTGTCCAGTTTAGCAGGGAGTGCTGCGTATCAGCATATTCAGCATGCACCTGTTGCTTCCTTGAGGACTCGCCATCACAGGGTTTAAGGATCATGTTCAGTGCCGAGGACATGGGCGAGTTCATCGCCGCGGTGCAGAATCGGTTCGTCTTCCAGACATGCGTCTCCAGGCGCCTGCTTGCTTCGAACCCCGTCGATGTGGAAGGAGGCTACAGACGATGACTAGTGCTGATGTCCCTCAATGCCGGCATGTTCGCAACCTCGACCTTTCATCCGATCTGGCACACTAACCTGCATGTTACATCATGTTGTTGTCGAGGTGCAAGTTCCACTTTGTGGATGAGAGGGTGCGAGTGGAGATGACGGGCGGCAACTGGGGCCGGACCAACGACCCTGATACAGACATGACCAGCTTGGCATACATCGTCAAGGTGCGCTTGGCAGCCAATTGCTGCAGAAGTGTGCTGGGCGCTTTCTCAGTCGCCAAGACCTGCTGAAGAACGGAAAACTCCAACCTTCAGCTGACATGTTCAGGACGTGCTCATGAAGCAGCAAGTGATGGAATCGTACATAATGCGGAACGCCTGATTTTCCTTGAACGGCTTGGCAGCATCCGCCGTGTTGAACGAGAGGAGCGTGGTGTTTGCCTGCCCGGACCGTGACTGCAAGCTATACATCGAACATGGAGCGCTGATTAGGATCAGAAAATCCTGCGAACCAAACTTGTGCTTGCAATATATATACATATATATATATATACACACACATACTGCGTGCTTGGCCGTCGGACGGAGAGTAGCTCCTGCAGGGCAAACGACGCTCTTCCGCGCAGTACTGCCTTTGTAGAAATGTTGCAGATTTAGGGAAACGCTCGGAGTAGGCCCAGGCAATCACTTGATCAGTGATCCCAAAGCTCACCTTTCAACCGAAAACTCAAGTTGTGTCTTCCTGTCGCTGCTCATTTCCCTCAAATACGAAACCCCAATTGGGTCCACGCTTGAATCAGTCCGCATCCTCAAAGAGGCTAGCGGGTAGAAGGTCAGCCGAGGATTGGCAAGGAGGCTTCACGGTGCTATTCGCCTGTTTCCTTGACATTCTCGCGTGCAAAAAGGGTATCCGAGTCGAAGTCTAAGTGTCTCGGGATGTCTGGGGCTTCTGAGCAGTGGCATGCGAGGCATCCTCGGACCCCGACCTCGAAGACTTTGCTGCGACAGAGGACGATCGCCTGGCGTCGTCCCAAGCCCATCAAGCCTTTAACCGGGACCCCAGGGCCCACGGAGTTCACGAAGTCTCAAACCGCCGAGGACTGGCCAGGCAAGGCTTCGGAGGCGGCGGTGCGGCGAGTGGAGGCCCTTGCCTTGCCTTGCAAGGGCGAGAATTCGCTAGTGTGGAAAGACGCTTGTTGAGTGAGGCAGGGCAGTAAAGATACATGACAGGCAGGACATATTTTGATCGCTACACCAAGAGCTCTCAGCTTTTGAAGCAATGCTGCTTCCCTGTCATGAATCTTTGGCAGAAGGCGCTGCAACTGGAAGCCAACAGACACGAAGTTGAATGAATTGAGTCTTTCGCAAGCCTGTCAGAGGAGCTTCAGCCACTGTCGCGACAGGTGGGAGAGAGTGTTGTTTGCTGATGTTAGAAGTTGGACATGTGTACGTAAGTTAGGACACGAGGAAAGGGCTTCAGGGTGTCAGGGTGTGCGTGGTGGAAGATGAGCAGCTGCAGACAGGCACCAGGTGGGCCGGGGGTGTGTTCGCCTCAAGTCGCCGCCAAGGTCCTGCCGCGGCACGGATCCTTTCTGTCCTTGCTCCAAGGCCCCATGGAGAGCTTTCTCAAACAGCTGCTTCTAGATCTTGTTGCAGTTCTACCGTACTACCCGTGTCAGGTCTTCTGCGGCCAGGCGCCCATTACAGGTTGCTGCACATTTGCACATCTTCGGTCGTGTTTTCCAGCATGCTTTCCAAGCCCACTCCCAGGCTGGATCCGCAACACCGGATGGACGCTGTGACCGGTTGCAAGTCGCCATTCTTCCTCGAAGAGGCTGTGCCGAGTGTCAGGTGCATGTTGGCACACATGTTGCTCTCTGCGTTTGTGGTGCAGGTGGTGGAATGAGCCTTGCTGCCGAGGATAGTCTGCACGGCCTCTGGTTGAAATGACTGCATGTCTGGGTTTCAGGGATTGTCCGCATGCGGTTGGCTTCTGCACGTCGCGTGTGTTCTGCCAGCCAATGACTTGGCTCCTGAGAAAAGACGTGACGTGGTGATGCGAAACAACGTCCAAGGACTCCTGGACCCGCCTCAGCAAAGCAGGATATCCTCATAGTCATAGATGTCATAGATAGCCCCGAGACCCCACCTACCTGTGTATTGACAATGGGTGCCCGAGCGGTGCTTACGCTTCTACTCGGCGCATGTGCTCGGAACTCAGCATCACCGGGCACCCTTTTAGAGGAGTCCGCACAATGCCGGAAGGTCTGCTTTGCTTCTCGGAGCCGCACAGAGGCCTGCGGTTAAGTAGCCCCCCTGACCTTTTTTTCTTGGGGCCATCCTTCGAGCTCGCGAGGCGGCGCACGCCTTTGCCCTGCCGACGGATCGAAAGCTGCGTCTCGGCCTCGGGCGAGGCCTTGAACCCGAGGTCCCGGAAGACGGGATCCGTTAGGACTGGGAAGATGCTCCGAATGGATCCGTTCAGACTTACGTAGACTTCCCATGGGTGGGTGTTTACAGCTGATTCGTGAGTTTCCGACACGACTTGGCGGTTGCCTCCGCATGGAAAGAAAGGCAGATCAACTGTGACCTATGCGGTTGACATATGCTCGAAGTGGTACCCGTTCCCTTCAGGGCCTCTACTTTGCCACTTGATTCTCATTTTCCGCCGAATCAGGGTTCGTTTCCCACGACTCTATCAAGCTCTTTTTGTGTACATTTTTGTACAACCTACAATCAGCCGCAGTCGAAGCATGTAGATCTACTGATGAGAAAATTCACAGAACGAGTTGTTGTGAGATGATCATGAGGTGCATGTGAGAGTTCACCTTATTCTCATGTTTGCAAAACACATCCCGAACCGCTTCTAAACTCAGAAAGAAAGCTTGCGGCGATCTTTCGCGGGCCAATAGCCTTAGAACAAGCCTCAAGGAGTTCAGCAGTTTTCCGATGAATATTGGGTTGCTGTGCTTGGTGGCATCACGTGGGCTCTTTTTCGGCATTATCCACCTGCATAGGCGCTTTGCTCACAGCTTTCCCGTGTGTCTGATCTGCATGCACTAAGGGCGGCCTCCGCCAGTGGCTCTCGTCGCTAGGACAGCGACTGCAGGACGCTTTAGCTGGTGTGGGATAATCGCGGTAAAACAAGGCTTCACATCATCATCATAGAGATGTGGATTCGGGAGCAGGTTCAGATCTAGGAGACTCGGTTAAGCTTCATTGGAGTTTCAAGGTCAGCTTGTCTTCTTTTCTCTTCGAAAGGCGCTTTGGTTCAGGATCTGGTGCAGAGCTGAAACAGTTCGTGCGCCCGAAGCAGTCTGCCGGGCGAGCTTTGTTCCGGTTGAAACGTTGCCTGGCGCCGTGCCAAAGCTCGACAGGTTTGACTCTGTGTCGAAGAGTCGAGGATAAGATGTGTGCCATCGGTAGCAGTTCGGTTTGAGGTTGTCAGAGACACGCTTTCCTGTCCTGCACTTGTTCGTGGCCAGGCGCCTGCCTGGCCATTCCGTGCTGGCCTTCTTTCGGGCCATTGGGCGGGGCTCCGATCACGTGCGACCAGCGTGAGCTGGCGTCCGCAGACCTTGAAGACCAAAGTCTGCGCTTCACCCAGGCTGATGTGGACCATGTTTTGCCTGTCAGCCGGGGTTGTCCCGGCCATTTCAGCAGGACATGGAAGTGGGGCGGTAAGATCAGGAAATCTAGAGGGATGTATTCGTGTTCCCGTGCAGGACTTCCTGCCCTTGGCTTAGCCACAATGTGAGAGCCCACATGCACCTGCAGTTTGCCTTCATCGCTCTGTCCAATAAGGTGGTGAAACGAAAGGATCCTGTGGCACGCAAGTATGTGGACCGAGTCATCTGCGCGCAGCATGTTCGCATTTCTCAAGACACGGTGACACAGCGAGCACAAGTGCGCAGGGCATTTTAACGTTTGCCAACTGTGGCCAAGGTGGAGTCAAATGACGACATGGCCGTTCTTCAGTGTGAAGGCTGAGAGCTCGGGTCTTCAGCTACCTTCTGGAGCGTAAGACAGATATGGAAACACAGTGTCACCTTACCGTCCCGTGCTTCATACTGCGAGGTGAAGGGGCGCGAGAACTTGTTGCCTAAAGATCAGGCCGTGGCAACCCTCGCCCGAATTGGAGCCAAGCTGCTTCCCTGCTGCTACAGTGTCCTTCTCTGCGCATGCCAGGTTTATGTCGCGAACCATCAGTCCTTCATGGACATCTTGTCTTGCTACCATCTGTGCGAAGCTCAGACATGCTGTGGCAGTGTCGCAGCGAACTGTTTTTGGACACAGCTGTCATTGATGTGCTGCACTGGCCAACTCTTTGATTGCTGGCATTCCGATGCACACTGGAGCGCATCTGGCTTAGGTCCCGATCCTTCAAGTGGGTTTCAAAGGCGTCCATCTTGAAGATCCCAGTGGTCGGTTGGGCGATGAAACGAACCCGCACAATCACCCTCGAGCGGGAAGATAGAAGGCCTGGTGACTCAAGAGCACTCGGTCAAGTAGTGTGCTGTGCTAGCACTAGCTGCGGTCAGTTTTACAGAGTTGAAATGTGTGCCCTTCGTGCATGCAGATATCTATGTACACATATATATATATGTATGTATGTATGTATGTATGTATGTATGTATGTATGTATGTATGTATGTATGTATGTATGTATGTAGGTACACGTGTGTATGTATGTATGTATGTATGTATGTATGTATGTATGTATGTATGGTAGGTAGGTAGGTAGGTAGGTAGGTAGGTAGGGAGGGAGGGAGGGAGGGAGGGAGGGAGGGAGGTAGGTAGGTAGGTAG